CATTCATTTTTTTCCTTTTTTTTACATTCATTGATAGCGTACCTTTATCAGTGTGTATGAAATGAATTCGTAAATTTTCGTATTAGTAAGGATTGATATCTATATCTAGAGATAAATAGTTACAAAAATTTACGATGTTATTTCTGTCTATTGCTGCATTTATCTCAACAATTTGTTTGTTATCAATCTAAACAGGTACGGATCGCTTCTGAGGTTGTATTTTGAATAACATGAGATTATTATTCTTGGTTCTATATTTTATGTTGCTCTTTGCTTTCATAATTAAAGGCAGTTTGTGGAGTCATGAGAACTAAAGAGGTCTTCTCCCCAATATTAACAACCCTTCCGCTAGAACTATATTATCATTGTCTTTTTCTGCCTCTGCTGCTCTCTTTGCTTTGTATGTGTTGGTGTGCATGCGAAGGGAGAAGCACTATATTTCTAATATTTTGTTCAACGGGTTCGAGGGGTGTGGTTGTCGGTTCTATTGCATAACAGCTATGGTTTCATCTCAGAATATTCCATCAAAAAACGAGTCCTGTGATTCGTTCTTTGACGTTTATATTATGAATCTTCATAAAGATTTTATTTTTCCATTTTTCCCTTTTTTCCTTTTATACAGTCAACCACACTTTCAGAATAACCAAAATCACACAATAGCTGCTTATGAGTAAGACAATGAATGATACCACTAATGCTGCTGCGCAACCCCATTTGCCTCACGGTGGTAGTGAGGATGAAACGTTACTGAAGAATGTGGTGGACTTCCTTGGTATTATGTATAGTAATAAGTCCATTGTTGGTGATGAAAACCGACAAATGGACGGCGCACACAGCATTCCAGCCTCGGGGACTGCAGGGCATCGTTTGAGCACGCGAGCAAGTTTGTACAAACGGGCCCTTGGAACTGTGCAGCCCTCCCACGCCGCTACAAAAAACACGGTACCTCCAGGGGGGACGACAAAAGATGGGGTGCAAAGGCCCAAAAGTGCGGGTGAGAATGACTACATTGGTCAATTGTTAGATCACCTTGTGCGAACCTACTCAACGCAGCGAATCCCTGATGACTTAGCCGTCTCGCGTGGTGAGCGGCGGGCGAATCCTGTTAGTAACAGCGACAGAAAAAATGCAGCAGCCCAATTAAGTTCGTTACAAAACATCCCGGATGACATCGATATGTCAATTTTTGTTAATCAGACTCTGGATTGCTTCTTGCGACCTGGTACACAGCCTAACTCGGCGGGCTCCATTCTGTCCGCCCTTGAGATGGACACAAACTTTGCAAAACTGCTGTCCTTCGAAACTCGAAGCAATCTGCAGTACACCATGGATGAGATCGACGATAAAACTGAAACACTAAAACCCATGTTTGTTGGCAAGCAGGCCATGTTTAAATCCATGGGATCTGCTCAAAAGAGCGAATCGTCCGATCACTCTTCAAACAACGTGTGTGCGACCAAAATACCATTACCATGCCTCTCCACAACCCAGAAAGGGTGCGCTGCAGGAACCGGATCCGTTCTCCCCCCTTCACAGAGCATGACGTTGGATTCCAAGGCTTTCGATTTATCCCACCCTAGTGATACCTTTAACGAGCTCGCGAAGGGGGGGGGCACCTCACTGCGATCCCGCCGTGGAGCGCACGGTGAGCCCTCTTTTTCCGATCACGTCGACATGTCTACCTCCATGAATGCGTTGATGAGCCAGGAGGCACTCAGCCGAAACATCCTGCTTGCGCTCGAGCAGCAGTTGCGAGGCTACATAGTATCTGCCTATCACACTAAGCATAAACGATTCGGGACTTGAGGAGGGAGAATAGCCAAATAAAGATTATGAGTTCGTTTAGCATAATGGATCTTTTCGTTTTATAGTGGGAATTGGGGATCACTGTGGCCGAGCTCGCTTGCTCAGTGAGAACACATAGTAACCTCAAACTAAGGTTGACGACAATCTTTTCAGTTTCTGAGCATTTTGGAAAGTTTCAGCCTTTGCCAGATGGTGAGTCGTCCGCCTCACGTCGACGTCGACGGAGAATGAGGTGAACAGCATCAAGTACTAAAAAGGACTGGATGCATTTTAGTGCTCATTTCTAAGCAGCCTTGTGCTTAACATTTAACGGTTTGGCAAGCCAATTTTCGACTCTCTATATTATATATATATATATATGTATTTTTATTTTTATATTTATATATTTTTTCTCATATTTCTTTTATTTTTTTATGCACAGTGAAACTAATTTTACCATTGATTGGTGGCGGTGGTGGGGAAGGAAATGATCTCTTTTACTCTTTTTGCTTCCTTACATACCTCTTGCATAGGTGAACGCTTTTACTTACGATTTCCTGAAATGAATCCAGCACCAAGGAGGGCATGTATGGATCTGAGTGGTAAACGGGGGATTATGTTGTGTACATAGTTTCTGACGGCTGTGCTTAAGTAATGAACTCAGGTTGAAATAATCACTATTTGTCTAAGAGGGTTTTTGTTAGCATCTTTTTTCCATATATACTTGTGTATATAATAAATACAATAACTATTACTTGAATATACATTGTGCCGACTTTATCTATTTTTTTTATATTAGTTTTACTTCATCTTTCGTATTACTTTAATTCTTTCATAAAACCTTCTTTTACTATATAATGACAAAATGCATACTGTTGGTCCCTACATGGGGGTTGAATTTAATTTTCGTTTTTTCCGAGTTTCTAAGGGTTTAGGCGGTTGAATTACTTGGGTTTTGTTCCAATTTTATCTTTTGCTTTCCTTTTTTTTCTCCTATCGCAAGACTTGTATACCTCCACGTCACATCTTTGAGCCAAAACAGGCAGGATGAAAATGTTCTATTGATATGACAGACGATCACACAAAGCCCTGTTAGTCTGATGCGGGTTTTGTGCCTAACCGTGATCCCCAGGGAGGGTGTCATGACGCGCGCGCTATGGCGGCTAAGGTGTGAGCCCTACCCCCCCATGGTTTGCTTTTAGAGCGGCCACGCCGGCACACGTACGACGGGAAGCTGTTGGCGGCCTAAGATTGCCTTGTTGTTTCTTCCCTGTAACGATGCTGTACGACTGCATTTCGAGGGAGTGCTCGGGTTATAAAAAGGGGGTACTTGTCAGGGAGCTGCAAAATGACCTCTGGGCGGCGGAATACGATCAATGCGCCGAGAGGCCAGCCAGGGCCATGCGGTGCATCAGAATATCCAAAAAGTCAACACGTGCTTTGCCAACATCATTGATAAAATGGTGTTGCAAGGGGGAGATCGGGCGCATCTATCTCTCACGTCGGTTTATGACAAAAGCTCTACGGAAGGTGGGTGATCCTCACAGTTGAAGGCGACGGCGACATGCTGTCGCGTAAGGGCGCTGTGGCTGCTCATTGACTTAGTAAGATGTTTCTTTTTGAGGTGATCCGTGAGTGGCTAACCGAGCTGTTTTGCCTTTGGGGTTTATTTATGCTTTTCTCCTGTTTTGGCAGTGGTACGGCTTTTTTTTCAATCCGTTCGACGAATATTCCATCGCCTCTGACGTAAAACCCATCCAGAGGTTGCGGCTAAGTCTGCGGACGCATCTCCCGCTTCTGTAATCGTGAATTTACCTCGTTGATCTGAATTGGAGTTTAGTGGACACTTGGCGGTCGTTATTAGGGTGTGTGGGAAGGGTCGAATAATGGTATTGGTAATAAATTATTGGAATGAGATGTTTGATTAGACGCCTGATTTCAACGTCTTGATGTTTAAACAGACCAGTCTGACTTGTTTTGTTACCTTCATCGTCTCGGTATCGTATTAGTGCCGGAAATTGTGAGAGCCATGATCTTTCTTATCACACCAAGAGGATGATAGGAGGGTTATTTTCGATTGTGGCTTTGCAAGCTCATATATGTATTTCCTAAACTTATCTATCCTACTATATCGTCAGCATCCTGTTTACACAGCTCTACTGGCCTCGTCCCACGCCAAGGTATTGCGCGTTGCTAACAACATCATAGTGCGATGGAAGACATTCGATTCTCTGGTACGTGGGTATAACTTCCATAGGTTTATATCACACTTTTAATATTATAACTTATATTTGGAGAGGTGATGACGCTTTTTTATTAAATAAGTCTTAACACCATCGGTTCAGTCGCGTGTTTCCCCCTAACCCTCTGCGCGTGTGAGTGTGGCTTGCGGCATAGGTAGCCTATTTTGCAAGAGGTGCCAACTCTTAGTACATTTATACCTTTTCCCTGGAGAGAGTGATAGTAAATTGCGTCTCCAGGGGGACTTCAGAGAATCACTGGAATGAAATTCTGTTTCATATGGTATTTGGAGCACTTGGTATTATTCTTTTTTTTTGTTTCTCATCTTATCTCTTCTGACGAGTGTTTCGCCTGTGATTTCAATTCTTGTGAACTTCATCTTCACACTACTTCAGTTGATCATGGGGAGGCAAAAAACACATCTTTATAGTTTCGGCGAGTTTGACAGACCTACTGTATCGGTTTGCCGTATGAAACCAAAGCAGAGCCATCACTACTATAGCAGCACATATCCTTTCTTCCTTTTCCTTCTTACTTTCCTCTCCATTTTCTCTACATCATAATCTGTTAGTTCTTTTAAAATTGAAATATAAATTCTAACGATATCAGCGATATTGCTTACTTGTTAATTCGGAAAACATAGTGACATTTTGGATATCAATTCACCAATGTCTCAGTTGCCTTTTGAAGATGAAAACCATATGGTGATGTTTCTACCGGATACGGAGACGTCTCCTCGGTACAGCAAAACCGTTGAGACTCATCCCGGCACACCTCGGGAGGCGGAAGCACCCCCCCCTCTGCCAAAGGAGAACTGGCAGTGTCCGCGGAAATGGCCTTTCTATGAGTACCGAGTGATGTGGCGGGAGTACTTCGCGGAGTTTTTCGGGATGTGGGTGTTCATGACGCTTGGCCAGGGCACGAGCGCGACGACGACCTTCCTCACGGCGAAGTTCCCCAACCAGCAGGCGGCGGCAGGGGAGGTGCTCGTGATGTTCGGCTGGGGCCTCGCCGTGACAATGGGGCTCTTCGTCTCGATGGGGGTCTCCGGCGGCCACCTCAACCCCTCCGTAACATTCGCTAACTGTCTTTTTGGTACGATGCCGTGGCGGAAGTTCCCTGGCTACGTGTTCGCCCAAACCCTCGGCGCGTTCACCGCCGCGATGTGCATGTACCTCCTCTTCTACGGCCGCTTCAAGGACGCGAAGCGGGCGTTGGCGCCCGGGGAGACGATGACGTTGAAGTACGGCGGGATATTTTGCACCTACCCGCATGAGTCCAACGCAGTGTGTGTGTGGAACGAGTTTCTCGATACGACGATTCTTCTTTTTTGCATCATGGGCATTTTTGATTCCCACATGACCCCCGCGGATACCTACAAACCGGTGGCAGTGGGGCTGCTCATCATCACGATTGCCGTATCCATTGGGATAAACTCGGCCTTCGGCATGAATCCCGCACGTGATCTTGGGCCTCGAATCGCCTCCGCTTTGATTTTTAGGACCACTGATCCGTTTACACTTTTCGATTATTATTTCTGGATTCCTACATTAGTCCCTCCATTTGGGGCTGCTTTTGGGATGTTCTTGTATACCATTTTCATTATCCCAGGAAAAAAATGAGAGTCGGTGATAGGAGGGAGTAAGTAACAAAAAGGGTATTTTATCTTTTAATCTTAAAAACATATTTAATATGATTGATTTGCATGAACGTGATACACTTTTTTGAACTTGTGGCTAAACAGTGCACATATTTAATTCTAGTTTTCTAAAGACATTTAATTTTTAAATCTTAAAATTTGGAATAAATTTGTTTCTTTTTTAACTCCTTAACTCATTTGGTTTGACTTTTTGCCTTGAGGCCTGAACAACATGAATAGTATAAATTCGTCTCGTGCTAAAAAGGCCTTTGTGTTGCTTCTGATGGATATTTCGGCAAAATTTTCTCTTTGAAAAAAAGATGAACATCTTCTTGCCTATAGTAAGCGAGAATGCTAAAAAAAGCAATCTCCTTACTGTCTACCTAAATAAAAAATAGATCCACCATTTACGACGGTGGTGCCAAATTATTAAAGCATGGGATGAGCAGTTTGCTTAGATGCATGGTGTTGTAAAATCACAATAGTATAAATAGATAAACCAAAAACATTTAGCCAAAACTGTGAAAATTTATGTTTGACGTAGTGTTTTATTATTTTTTTTGGATTTAAACATCTCTTTTTGTAGACCACACACTAAATGAAAACGAATGAATTAATTGTCATGAAACAGAGTTGGTGTGAGAAGTCTAGAAGCGATCGTGTGGGCAGTTCCAATATCTCCTTCTCTATTTTCTTTTTTAGTTTATCTTCATGTTGCGTGTGCACAGACTTTCTGTGTATGTACCACCCCAAAATATGAGCAACTAAAATTAATCATATTTCAATCATACGAGATTTTTGACTAATTAGCAATCATTATAAAGAGAATGTTGGATTTCAGTGAGTTTTTTCCACACGGTTCGAGGTCGTCTACCCCGCTCAAGGGAGATGGCTTCCTGATTCACGGAGATCGTCATAGCGGTAAAACTTCGTTCGCCTTCCAGGCCGCCATCAACTGCGTTCTCAAGGGCGGCCATGTTGTCGTCCTTTGCCACGAGTCCGCACTCTACGCAAACATTCCAAAGCCGTTCGTTCCGCTCAGCAGTCTTTCCGAGGAGGCGTTGCATCGTATCGAGTTCATCTACGTCGGTAGCTGGGGGGAGGCGGCGAAGGAAATGGCGGCGATGCGCACCGTCGAGGAGATCCCTACGCTTCTCATCATCGACGACGACGATTTCGCTTCTGCCGAGGAGGGGAAAGAAGAAGAGGGTGGCGGATCCATGGCGATCGCCCTCTCGTACCTCAGTAACATCGCCGACTGGATGCGTCGCGCTGCGAAAACGTTTCACTACGTTGTCGTAACAAATGCTCCAGTCGATGCCGTGTCGGATAAGAGCCCCCTCGGCGGTCGTCTGGCGCCGCCGTATGTTTTCTTTCCGGTAG